ACCTTAATGATTCCATGATTCTATGATTTCATGCACTACTGAATGTCCTATATGGTAACTGGCCTGGTCTGTGTGTTACAAGCACACTATCAAACCATGCAAAATTCCCAGTTTTTACGTGACTGTAAGAATATTTCTTATTTCTTACTTTGTCCCAACCATCTACACAAAGAGGGTCTGGCCAGGCAATCAAAACAGCAGATCTGACAGGGATTCACATACATCTCTCGAGTGGCATTTACCTAAGACACCACGTCTTTCCTCTAGCGCTGCCAGAAGAAAATCCCAAACCTACTGGAGTCAGCAGGATTTTTCCACTGATTTCAACCAGAGCTAAGATTTCCTCCTTGGTCAGAGAGAGAAAAAGAGAAAAACTTTGTAAAACCCTCAAATCAGACCAACCTGAAAGAGGAAAGCATCCCCAAGGGAGTTGCTGAGACAGAAGACAAAGTCCTTCTTGGGGTGTTCAGGCACCGCTTGGACTATGCTGTTTTCCACCCAGACAGCGTGCTTTGGGATGCTGTTATGGTCAATGCCAGATCTGCCATCGGTCTCATAAAAAAACAGTGTGCATCCTACAAGAGACAATCACATATTAGCAAGCAACACGTGTAAACACAACGGCTGCCCTGCATATATTCAGCGCTAATACTTGGGACTATAAATCATCCACAAAGCTGTCACAGGGATGAGGAAGGATTTGCCAGGGCTTGTTCAGGTTTTCAGCCCCACAGCAGAGAGCACCAGCAGCAGCCCAGTTTTCAGCCCAACAAGGTGGTGGTTTCCATGCCATGGGGGCACACCACGAACCGCATCGTACATCAAGCCATCCATAAGTGGGCCATTTTGTTTGCCTTAGGATTGCTAAAACAGAGCTGCAGACACGAGTTGAGAAAGTCATGGTCAGTAAAACACAGCCCCAGATGAGAAACATCATTGTTAAGTCCCATAGTGAGAGTCCTCTGCAGCTACCCCATCCCACTGAGGGGACCAAAAGGAAGATGTAGGCATGAGAGTGTGTGCCCCCAGGCAGTGCTGGACAGCTGTGAGCCGCGAGCAGACAGTCCCCCAGGCAAACCTCTGCCTCAGCCTCCTGCAGCGGCTAGCTGCTACAGTCCCTGCAAGGCAAAGATCAAGTGATTTAATTACTGCATGCAGATAAGTAACTGGAAGAAAAATGGACTGGAATGGGCTGTGCTTGCTGAAAGACTGATATACAAAAAAAAGCCAACAAACAAACAAACAAACAAAAAGCATAAACCAAATCCTTATTCCACTGTAACGTTTCAGCTCTGACTCACAGTGATATGACCAAAAATGCATTTTAGCTGGGGACAGCAAACAACCTGCTTGGTTTTACAAAATAACCTTTACAATTCTCGGAGGGGGAGGGGGACGAAGGTATAGCACAACTGCAACTTAGGAAACTCCAAAAAAGGGTCTCCTCTCCCGCCTACCCACATTATCTACAGCTGTTCTAAACTAAAACTGCCACTAGCCCTCTCGGTGCAAAGGGATGCTCTGTTACCCAGCCTCTCAGAAAACTATTTGCAGCCAAACAATAGCAGCTATCAACTTCAAAGCCTCGTTTAAATACTAACATTATTAAGGCACAGCAATCTAAGGAGCAAATACTCCACTTGAGTCAAAGCACTTCAAAATAACATTGCCTCCGTGCTCATCCTTCCCCTTTTTCCTCCCAGATGGCCCTTTGTTTGCCTGCTCCTCACAGCAAGACCTTCCTGCCACAGGGCCCCCTCCCAGGAGATTAGGGCTCCCCCCTACCCTTGAGCCCCGCCTCTCTCCTCTTTCATTTCCCCAATCTCTCCAACCACCCCAAGGAAGAGTTGGCCCTAACTCTGCCGTTGGTTTTAAGATAGTGCTACAAATTTTAAAAAAAAATAGTGCCCTAAAAAAAAGCACTCTGCAGGCAGAACAGGACTTTAACTGTACTGAACTTTTCAGTAACCCCACCTACAGCAGGAGATGGGGCTCTGCCTCCCCTGGCTCACAGAGAGCCCCGTCACAGCTGAGGAGAGCAAGGCCAGTCCCAAAACCCTGAAAGCGCTGCTTCCCGTTTTACTGCTGATGCAACCACGTGAAAATTAATTGGAGGTTACTTTAGGAGGCCGGCTCTTAAGTTTCACTGCTCCGTTAACATTTATGTGCATTTAGAAGCACTCAGACACCAAATGGGGCTGGAGCACCGTCCTAGCAAAACTGAAAAAATTCAGAAGCCAAGGAGGCTGGCAGGGCAACTGGGAGCCAAGGGCTGCCCACTGCAAGTTGGGTGACACAGCCAGAGCCAGCATCTCCCAAGTCACAAACCAGCCTTGATGACCACACCACTGCTTCCTGTCCACACCTCGAACATGTTGCAACTCACTGGGTGTGTTTGCTTTTAAAGCCCATCTTGGAGACGGAGAGGCCAATGGCGCTAAGCTCAAGATGAATGCACACAAAGATGGAGCCCCTGCCTGAATGCATGTCAGCAGCCACCATCATCACTAGAAAACTCCCACTGTCACGTGCCTGTAGCTGCACGCAGGTGTTTAGTTTGTCAGCAAGCCATAGACATGCTGCTTAAAGGAAACACCCAGTGCTTAAGAGAAGCCACCCCAGATAACGCCAGCAGGACTTGAAGCAAGGTGTGAACCCCACTTCAGTGCAGCACAGTCGCATGGGTTTGACTACCCGCATGCCACAATGTGAGCACATGAACAACCATCAAACAAAACTCCTCTGAAAAACATCAGGACCACTTCCTCACGAAGCTCACGGCAGCTTTTGTTGAGTCTAGGCTATTGGCTTCTTCATCTGCAGCAATACACAACGGACACCACAGACATGCATCTGGATGAACCCTTGCACGCTTGCTCTGTACCTTTCAGAGAAACCCAGTAGTGCTTCCATTTCCTGCGGGTGGCCGACTCCACTTTCTTGTTCTTTTTGTGCACCAGGAAGTTTTTCACTGCCAGAGCGCCAGCTTTCCGTACCGTGCCCTGGGCAGCCGTCAGGAGGATGTCAGACTGCCCTGGGGAGCTAAGGGTGCCACTGCTCTGCTCATCACTGAGGGCAGAGCCGGCCTCCTCCAGGTTCTCACTGTTGGTGGTGCTCATCTCCAGCTCCCGACGGAAGTTCTCATACACCCCCTGGCGAAGCCCGTCGCCTGTCGAGCTGCTCCCGCTGTCGCTGCCGATGAAAGCCCGACTGGTCGTCGGGGAGTAACTTGAGTTGGTAGCATTGGAGCGTCTAGAAAGGAGGTCGGTGTCAGTGGCTGCTCCCTCGATCCCACTGTCGGTGAACTCGCTCCCCTCGCCTGCGTTGACATCCTAGTTGCAAGAGAGACAAGACACAGGGTGAGATGAAGAGCCTGGCTGAGCCTGGCCTTCTGAAGACAGCAACAAAACCCAAAACGCCCAGATGGCACCACATTTCTTCACACCCCCATTTTGCCTAGCACTGGAAATTCCTCATCTCTTTTTCTTCTGATGACCAACAACTGGAAGAAAAGGCGGGGTAGGCAGAACTTCCAGCACAGTTTAGGGAAGACCAGTCACACACGCAGGATTTCAGGTGGTGCCTCTACAGTCTACATTTTGGAATATAAGATGCAGCATCATCTGTTTACATCAAGCTAACAGTGCTAAAGGTTCTGCAAAAGGAGAACATATGGTAGCAAAAACTGGCAGTGTCAAGAAAAGCAGCTACCAATCTATGCATTTTGAAAAGAAAACATTGATATTGTACATTCACACCTACAGTTGAAGATACATTTTAGACATCCCAAGATTGTAATTTGCAAATTATATAACTAAAAAGGTACTTTTTTTTTTGCCTAAGAAGTTAATGTATTGAAGATTTTTTTCTGTTTTGTGTCACTTCCACATCACAAACCCTAGCGATGGACCACGTGATATCCCCTGCCAAATCTCACAGTGATAGACCCTGCCAAAACACCGCAACACAAGACCCTTCCTGGTCCCCAGGAACTTGCAGTTGAAGGATCAGAAGAGACAAGAATATGGCTGGCTTGAGCAAGACAGGAAACAACATAACCGAATTCAGGTTTCAAAGGCTTAGTGGCTCAGCCTGCCCCCTGCAACAAGGCTAGTGCCCAAAGGGGGTAACCACTACCACCTCAACATCCAAAGGCATCTGTGGCAGTTTTTGCAGGAGAACAAATAAAGGCCAAATCTTGTAAGTGGGGACAAATATCTCATGTTAGATATTCGGGAGAAAAGGAAGACAGGGAAGAAGATGCAAAGAGGTGAGAAATACCGCCAAACCAACACGGGTTTCAGCCTCTACCTCTTCTGAAAGAGCAGCTGGTGCTCGAGTTACAAGTTTTAAAAGAAATGAGAAGTCTCTGACAAGGGGTGTCAGAATGCAGTACTTATTTTGAGAGAAAACAAGCTTCTAGGTGTTGGTTCAAGCACCAGTTTTCTATGCATCCAAGAGCAGCTCTGCAGAAACTGAGAAACCCTCCACCAAGCTCTGTTTGAAACCTTCCTCCTGTGGAGCAAGAGCTGGATAAAGAAAGCCTAGGGGGAGGCAAGGGGTGTTGCTGAATTTGACTAACTTTTAAGGCATTAATCTGTAATGGATGGGATCATTCTTTACTAACGCTACCTCTCAAGGGAGACTTGGAGTCCAGCTGGAAGAATAACTTCTTCCTTCCTCACTCAATAAGTACAGTTAAACTAGTCAGTGTGGTTATTTAATGCAACATGTAGTGATAGACAAGTTAATCTGGACAGGCCAATATTCCTCTACTCCCACCGCTTGTGAATGAGCTGAGCACAGTTTCCTGTAAGTGCAGTAATCTACCCGTACAGAGCAGTTTTCACAACAACACGTTTTTTCCTTCTGTTGCAATACACTTGTTTTTTGGAAGTTAACTACCTTCCCATTTCTTGCAGCACTGAAAAGGAGGGATATCTGGAGAGGGGAACTGGTGCTGCTCAGAAACCAATGTTTACAAAACACTGCTGTGAGTGAGTTTTTGTACTCCATCACAAAAAGCTGGATGGTGCAACTTCTGATGACAGCGCTCCATCTGAGACCCTGTGTGTCACAGAGCCAGGACTGGCGCGGCTGCTCGATGCTCACATGCCCGAGGCACTGCCTTTCTGCCAACACAACTACACCAGTGTAAAACTGGAGCGCCAAAGAACTGAACCAGCTCCCCCGCATTCACTGGGACAGTTATTCCCATAGCATGACTGGTGTTTGCAGTTGTTTTCTGGGGCCTTCTTCCTCCATAATTTTTTCAAAGGGAAAAAGTGTGCCACTCATATAGCATAAACAAATCTGCATTCTGCAGTGAACATTACGTAATGGTGGAAACAGAAACCATTTGAGGTTTTGAGATTTTTATTTTAGGTTAACAATTTAATATGTATACAATCTGTCTTCATTTTTATCCATGCAATACAAAAAGTTTAGAGTCAATTTCAAAATTCTGGCAGATGTAACTTTTAGGGAGCATATCTCATGCTTTAACTAGAATTAGTCTTTTTTAAAAAATAAAGAGCTACTAAAACAGACCACCAACTTGAGGGGGATAGGATTTTTAATTTCGCCATTTGCTTTTTAGCAGATGGAGCATTTTTTCAAAAACAGAAGTGCACCCTGAGACGTTCAAGCACAGCACTGCAATGCAGGCTCTCAAGGTTGCTCATGCTCAGCCTTCTCATGTAACCTTCATGAGACACAGCAGTAATTGTCTCAGTTTCCCTGACCATAAATGGGGAGTATACTCCATAACTGATATGTGGGCATAACTGCTTACTAGTTATAAAAAAATGCAAGGATGGAAAACTCAGAATCAATGTTATATATGCTCATGAGCTTAAATTGTAGCACATTTTGCAAGCACCTTTATAATCTTTACCACAATGCAAGTGATAGGCTGGATGAGTCAAAAGATCTTTTCAGCATACCCTGATCTCCCTCTGCTCCCTGCACTCCCTTTTGCTCTCTTAAATATCCTATATCAAAGACTTCTTGCCAACCGATGCAAGCCCTTTGGTAGGAGGAGTGTCCGAGCACACAGAGGTCAAAACAGTTCAAAACCTACAAAACCTACAGCCCGCTAATATTGTTCACGCTCATGAATTATGAAACGTAGCATTGAGTGAGTTTAGCACTTTCGGAAGTCTGCTGTATGAGAAGATTGGTCTCAGGGTTAGTAAGGTTAAGAGCTTTCATTGCACCAGTCCCTGACTTCTGAGTTCTGCTGCAATGTCAGCTTGTTCTCATCAGAGAGTATGAAAAGCTCTCAAGAAGCAGCCAGCATCTGCTTTGGATGTCCTGCAGTGCTATAATCTACACACTGAAGCGCATTCAATTAGGAGTTTAGCAGAAAGTACAGAGGTTTAGTACTGTGCTTCCACAGAAATGTGCTGAGGCCCAAGGGGTAGCACTCCCAAGCCAAGCAACAAACCATAGCAGGGTCTGAAGAACACATCACTGGGGGCACAGAACTAATCCTGCAAATTTTCAAATGAGGATACTGCAAGTTAAGCATCCCAACCCGCACCATGAGCAGCACAGCTCCACGCTGATGAGATCAATGTGGATACACGTGTCCCTAGCTTTGGACTCCAGCCTTCAAAGTACCTACTGACATGGCCACCAGCGGGTAATGCCCAGATGCGAAGCAAACACTGCGTAAGCTTGATGAGAGCTATTTAAAAATTACTCACCTTTTCTGCTCAGTTTCTCAAAGAACCCTGTGGGTGACAGCAACACCTCTGTCCTCCAAGGAAGACTTATTACCGTGATGGGATGTGCCACAGAGGCTTGCTAATAAAACAGGCATTTCAGTCCCTGGCAGGAGGATTTCCCAGGCAAAGACTCTTGAGGCCAAGAGTGAACTACAGACACAGATCAGCCTTCACCCCTCTGACTCTTGCCCAGCATCTCTGCACCTCTCCACCAGGATGCTGATGGCATGTGCCAGGCACGTTGTGGGAGCTGGATGACAGCTGAAGACTGCAGAATGCATGTTTCTGAAGCCTGCCGTTTTGGACATTACACACACTTTATAACAAATCACCAGCACATTACTCTGGACTTGTAATTGCTGTCATCAAGGGGCTCTGTTTTATTTCACCGGTTAAAAACCCCAAAACTTTCATTCAGCTCTGTGCAAGACTTGGGACACTGCACTTGATATTTTGCACCTCACCAGGTATCTTGTGCTTTGTATTTTCAGGCTGGCAGGCAGCTGTCTTCACACGGAGGAATATTTTTGCCTGGAGAGACCATCCCAGGAAACAAATGCAAGACTGGAACTAAAATCTGTTCTGCTCCTCTTAGCCTTCCCACTGGTGTTACCCTAGCTTTTGGCCTGAGAGGACAAGAGGGCAAAGCAAGAGGGAGGTGGAAATCATTAAATTGGTCACACCACGTAGAAAGCATGTAGCAAAGAAAAGAAAGCATATTTCCTCCAAGAAAGAGAGATGGGGGAAGTCGTGGGAATATCAGTTCTTGGTATTTTGCAAACACAGCAGGTCTTAGACCATAGAGACAACAAACTGAATAAACAGGGGGCTTTGTCCCTTCAATGTAAGATTGTTCAATGGTAAGCAGGGAGAAAGCTGCATAAAGACCACTGGCTGAAGAAGGGAACTAAACAGCCTCTAGCGACTGTGCTGCACTATGCAAGTGCCTTGATGGGGAGGCAGTAAGTAGTAGCATAGCTTCTTCCAGGATTTGGGATCCCTGCCGCTCCTGAAGGTGCCAGAGGAGTGGCACTGTTTCTTACACTAGCAGTGCTAGTATATCGGTTGTAAATGCCCAGGGTTTATGAAAAGAGGTTCAGGAGCCAGCAATGTAGGGAAAGGTGGAACACCCCACACCAGAGAGATGCGCCACAGAGTAAGAAACCAGAGACAGACTGAATGGTGCTGTTGTTACCAACAAGAACACAGCCAGGCCCAGCACGCAGGCCACGTGCCAGGACAGCCACAACAGCCCTAACAGCATTCAAGCGTAATGAAATGGAATTATCACAGCCCCATCAAATGCAGATAATAATTTAACTGACGAACCAGTTGGGAAAAGTATTAGTGAAGGTATTAGCAACCCACTTAAATATACCTTTTTTCCTCACGTGAGCACTGGGTTTCATGCAAAGCAAGCCAGTGGGGAATAAAACTGTAATGCAAGCTACACCAATCTAATGTACTTGGTCCTGTAGCTTTTGGATATTCACGTGATACTCATACCGCTAAAAATCTTGCTAGATTTAGAAGATACACAGAAAAACCCCTTTTGCTTTAGAAAAAATGTCTACCTTCAGCTAGTGAGGATCAGCCAAAAG